ACGTTCGAACGCGACGGGTTTAGTTCTGCCTGCACAGTTGAGGTCCGATGATCGTAGCGCAGTCGGTATCTGGTCACCCGTCGAATGTGTGCCAAAAGAACGTCTGGTTCTCATTCTACCCTATCGTGATCGTGATGAGCATTTACGCGTGTTCCTCAATCACATGCATCCGTTTTTACGACATCAACAACTTATGTACACTATCATAGTGGTTGAACAAGTAAGTTACCGGTTCTTGTGCCTTGCTGCTGATATGTTATTCTCGTTGCATTTTCCCCGTACTTGTTGTTCACCGGTAAAACACCGTCGCGTGCGTGCCGGTGGGTTGAGAACACTTAGCCAGCTGTCTCCTTGTGGTGGTTGCACGCTTGTGTTCATGTGTGTTTGTGTGCGTGCGTTTGACGAACAATCCCACGTCTGTTTCTCATCAAGTTATCGCCAGCGCCCCGCCAACCCGCAACCTCCAGTTGTTCAGCCACAGTCCCACTGTCCTGTAGTCTCAACGCACAAAATTGCAGTCATCCCGCCGTAAGTGAGTCTGATCAAAAGAATTGGGATATTTTAAAGTCGACAAATGTTGAATTTTTTTATTTCCGTCCTAGGTTAATGTGTTAATGTATAGGAAACAAATGAGAAGGAGTGACGATTGTTAGTTACCGTCATAACTGTCCCGAGTGCGCTGCACCGTAAAGTTCCCAGAGAAGGTTTAAACGATCTGCCCGTATCGTTGAACCACTGGTCGTATCTGCTACAGCTTCATCGACCAATCCATGCAATCAACCCCATAGTATTCGGTTGGGGAATTTTGTCATCTAAAATGTTTGATTTGAATATTTCTCTAGTAGCGTCGGGGAGGATAGTTGAACTGAAGTTAATCGATTATTGGTTTTAAATCCTGGTTTATCTAGACTGGTCTGTTTTTTGTAGGGGAGGGGGGAAGGGATGATTTGTTCATCGCGGTACGCGTTCAAGCGCTCGTGCGATGTGCATGTTGATAGTGTTCACATATCCACACGCATACAACTTAACGCGAATAGCCAGTCAGTCATGGTCATTTATTGTCCGAATTCTTCTGCGCGTAGCGTCCGCACCATGGCAACCACCTTGGATTTTTCTTTTTTCTTCTTTATTTCGGATCAGTTATAGGTGGTGAAAATTGATCCGACCTGTTAGATAGTACTGTCTACGGGAAATCATGACCACTATTGAACAGAGAGAGAGAGAGAGAGATCAGTGATGACCCCGCAGCCTACTTTTCCTTTGGTTTACACCTTTTTCCATCAAGCTTTAGTCAAAACCCGCAATCCTTTAGCCTCGGCGCACAAATTTTAGTCACACCACAATAGGCTAGTCCGATCAGAAAGTATGGGAAAGTATGGAAAGTATGTTGAAAAAATTATTTTCTACAAATGTTGATGTTGCAAAGCTTGGTTATGAAATAAGATGTGAGGGTTGTATGCTGCAACCCGCGTTGATTGGAGCAGATTTAACCGATATGCCCGTATCGTCAACCCATTTGACACATCTCATACAGATTCAGTGTTTCTGCATAACATGCGATCCTCATAGGAGTAAAATTGTCATGTGTAATTGAAACGGCAAATTTTTTTTTTACATTCACAAGCCCCGAAATAAATCTAAAGGTAGATACTTAAAGGAAACTCTGTTCTTGCGATGTGGATACATTGAAAACTCGAGGATAATAAACACGGTTCACAAAAGACCCCTTTCAGAACACCATCTCCCAAGAAGCCACAGACAAAATCTGTCATAATTAAGCCTCGACCGTGGTAATTGTGACAGCTGCTGTAGCGTTAATAAACTAATGATAGTTAAGAGAGTGTACTTTTACGAGTGGTTTATTATCAGCACGTTTACGTATCCCCTTCTGATGAACAGAGTTCAATTATGAATGCAATGCACCGTTTGAGTTACACTTGAGTATCGCATACTATGCAGAAACATTGAAAATGTATGAGTTGTGTCAAATGGTTTGACGATATGGGCATATCGGTTAAACCTGCTCCAATCAACGCGGGTTGCAGCATACAACCCTCACATCTTATTTCTTAATCAATCTTTGCAACATCAATATCTATAGAAAATATTTCTTTCAGCGTCCGTTGACTTCAGATTATTACGATACTTTTTGATCGGACTCGCCTGCTGCGGTGTGACTAAAGTTTGTGCGTCGAATCTAAAGGACTACGGGTCTTGGCTAAAGCATTACGGGTTTTGGCTAAAGGAATGTAGATCAAGGCTAAAGGATTGTGGGTCTTAGCTAAAACATTTCGGGTTTTGCCTAATGGATTGTAGGTTTCAGCTAAATGATTACGGGTTAAGGTTAAAGGACTGTGGGTTTTAGCTAAAGCTTCCTGGGAAAAGGTGTACATCAAACTGCGCTCACAATCAAAGTTGAAGCAGATCTGGGCGATTGGGGTGTCTGTTTACCCAAGTAATAATTCACTTTCAATTCACTGAGCACATACGAAGCTGACACAGGTAGGTTGACAGAGATGACAACGTGTAGGACGACAAGAGTGCACCTTGACCTGTTGTGCTGAATTGCATGCCCTTATGACCATGCGGACTACACAGGACGGCTATACACAGCCGCAGATGCAATCATACCTGAAAGGTCAGTGAGTAGAGGTCAGACGAAGCTCAGTCTGACAAGGTCAGCAGCTGGAGCACCTCTTGGAAAAGTTCAGGCACATCTCTGCTCACCCCCCGCACTGCTATCGCATGAGTTCTTACCGTTCAGTGACTCAGAAATGCATCTTTCACACAGCTCTGGCTCGCAAACCGTTCATTTGAATTTATACAGAGTCAGTGATTGTATGATTTCTAGGATTCCTTAATTATTCGATTACGTATTGAACTCATGCGCAGTTTACTGTCTCTAGTCATCGTTTTCCCACTGGCGATCTGAAGGCAATACTAGTAGCTCCATGCCTCACTGACCACAGTTGTCGCATCCTGCAGCCCCCAAGACCCCCCACCGTGGTTTTAGGACGAAACAAGCTCCCATGACTCCGTTTTTCATCACCGATTTCACCTTGGCTTTGGCTTTGGTTCCTTGACGTCGTTTGTTGCATTGTTTACCCCGGTTTCGTTTTAATATTATCTATTGTTCCATGTGGATCAGACGGTTCCTCGTGAACCATATCACAACAACAACACAACGGGCCACTTGCGGCGCATGGAGTCATTTGCGTTGACCTCGAACCTGTTGGAACCGGTGCACTAAGAATTNTTAACTAGCCATATGAAACACCGAACAATCACGTGCCGACGTGTGTGTGTGTGTATGTGTGGATGCCAACGTACTCATTGGTTACCTTGGCAATAGGGAAGGTCTACTTCTAATCGGCCTTGTAATACTTCCACATACACACACACACACAGATATGCACCTTTTTCTTTGTGCACGGTGTCTATTATCCTTGGTCTGATAATGTCTGCACCACTCATGAACAAAGTTCACTTTAATTAGGGTTACAGAACGGTGAACATTTACTCTTTCGTGATATCGTTTTATTTTGTGAATGCAAAACAATTCACCGTTTGTGTTACATTTCAGAATAATACTCACCGAAGTATAGCAGAAAAAATTAAGCTGCACGAGATGTGCCAAATGGATTGACGATGCAGGCAGATCGTTTGAATCCTCTCCAATCAACATGTGGTGCAGCATACAACCGCCACACCTCATTTCTTAACCAAGCTTTTCACCATCAATATTTTTAGAAATTAATATAGTTTAACATTCGGCGACCTCAGGATATTTCAATACCTTTTCGATCTGACTCGCCTGCAGTGGTATGACTACAGCTTGTGCATCGAGGTTAAAGGACTACAGGTCGCGGCTAAAGCATTGTGGGTTTTGGTGAAAGGATTACGGGTCTCATACGACCAAGCATCTCGAATAGCCTCTGCTAAGGACACTATTCGTTTCCTTTCTTGTGGCTGAGGTGTTTGTTGCCAAAATGAAAGGACGCAAAGCGCACATCCGGGGCTGTAACCGGGATCGGTAAACCACTGCAGTTCACCTAGGGGAGTTGGCTAAAACCCCTGTTTCCAAACTAATCACAAAGTGGCGTACGAACCACACACAAACATACCTACTTGGTTGTGGCGGTAGTCACCGGCTGTACTGGGTATCAAGGTGTATTGAACACCTTGGATGTTTGACC